TAGGCACTAACTTCCAACCCATAGGGTAGAAAGTCAGGCTATGTGCCTCCATTTGCTCTGGAAAGTTACTGCACATTCTCTGCTCTAACTGCTTTGACCTTTAGGATGCCATAGGTAGAGTCACATAACTCTACATTAACATTTGGAAATGGCTTTTACCTTTGGGTCATTTTATGGTGTAATTTCAGTGAGTTACTCATACCAAGTACTACTCAGTGGTGTGGATAAAATATTCTTTTTGCATTGTTATAAAACAATTGTTTTGTTTTTGATATAGTGAATGTTTTTAAGTTCATTTTTTTTTTTCTGGTAGTAGTTGTAAAGGGAGGATAGTAAGGATAGGGAGGAACTGACTAGAACAAGTTCCATAAAAAAGAGCAGAATAATCCAAAAACCTGAACATTTCCATACATTTTCTTGAGAGCTAGAGTATAGCTTTATTGAATTTAACATGGAAGAATTTTGAAGAACACCTCGTGGGGCTTTATATAGTAAGTCAGATTAAATTTTTAAAGACTATCTTTTACAAATTTTCCTTTAAGCTTGTGAACTCTTTTAAAATTAGTTTTCAATTTTAAAAATATTTCTATCATATAGAATTATGAAGCTATTGTAACGTTTCACATATTTAGGAAATCAAAAGGACTGAAATTTAACAGAGAATCCTAGGCATCAACTCTTTCTGTTGGTTGTTTTTCTCTCTGGCTTGTGTCTTTGAGTTAAAAACAAAACCAAAGACTTTTATTAGTCATAATTTAACTTCTTTTTTAGGTTGGGCCAGTTTTCCCAAGCAGGCTTACAGCTGTAGACTGAAAACTTTGAGTTATACTTTCTTTTTGTTTGAATCATTTCTGTACTTTTTATTATTTTGTTTTAATCTAAATTGCTTCCAGCTAAAATGTGGCTTGTATCTTAGCTCAGGGGCAAATGAACACAGTCTAAATACCAAGAATCTTTAACTCTTTTTTTTTCAGTCAGCCTATAAAAGGGACAGATTCTGCAAAAAGTGCCTTCAGTAACACAAATGTTAAGTTCTTTTGAAATGGAAAAAGCAGAGTAAACAAAGCAGTGAAAAAAGAAAACTATCAGTGAAATCTTTGAGTTTCATGAGCTTTCTTTGGAGGATGTTGAAAAGCAGCAGAACTAATTGGAGTTCAGCAAGAATTTGTTTATTCTGCTTATCTGTGGTCAAAACTAATAGTCTTAATGGTTTGAAGAGACTAACTAGTGGTGGAGTGACGTGGCCACTTACAGATTAATGTATCTATTTGCAAATGATCATATTTCCCCCATCACTTAATACATACAGACTTTAAGTAGCTATGAGCTTTGCAGTCTAGTGAAATGAATACTCTCTCCTTTTAATTCCTCACAGCATGTTGTCATAAAAATCAAGCAAAAATATGTGAATACCTTTCCAAGTTGGGCTGCTCACTTACTGATATCTTTGGATTCAGGGCACATAATAGCCACACACAAATAAAATTGGACTGCAGATTCTGATGAAGTCACTTTAATTTGAAATTTCATAAAATTTAAACAAATGTTTGTAAAGAAATAGAAAATAAAGTGGAGGATAGTAGGGAGGAAACAGATATAATGATAAATGCATAAAGGCTGACTTGAAGAATCCAAGAAATTATATAGTCCTTGAATCTTAGAGCTCTGAAGAAGCTAATGAATCCCCTCTCCAATGAATGGATTCAACAAGTGTCACCCTAGACAAGTGGTTTAAAATGGTGGTCATTGATCTGATGTACTCAAGGAAATTTTAAAATTTTACTTTTTTTAAATCCCAACAGATTCTAGTGAAAGTGAAAATTTACCTACAAAATTCAATTCCTGGTGATTATAATGTTCAACCAGATCTGAGACACTAGCGTTTCTCATACTGTAGCTTATGTTGAGTCACATGCAGGCTTGGCAAATCACAGATCCTAATTCAAGAGTTTTTGAGCGTGGAGATCATTAATAGGAAGTGAAAATTCTAAATAGCCTCAAAGGTGATGCTCGGTGACAGTATTTAATTTTATGTTCCAGGGACCAAACTTTGAGAACTATTATGGCAAATAATGGCACAAAAGTGTGAGAAAGCACACAATAGTTATAAGAATCATGTAATATTTTGGCTAGTGGAGAAAAAGATTTTTAAATATAACAAAATTGTGTACAAAGAAAGTTCTGCTAAAACCTCAAAAACTATAGTTATCACAGTGAAATATGAGAATTTCTGTCAATTTGTACTTGAGAAAAAGAAGGTGCTCATGAAATATTATAAAACTCTTAAGGCCCTTTCCCATGATGAAGGTAAAGTGGGTAGAGATTTACAAAACTTTCTGTGAAAAACTCCTGCTGTGAAATCTAACCTCTACCATGAAGGTGAAGGTTATTGCGACCCTTTACTGATTTGCCAGTACTGAGAGTTTTTCTAGGATAAGGGACATTCAGTGCTAAATGTAAGCAGACTAGGACAGGTGGCTACCTAAGGCTGTGCCTCATGGTGAGCCCCGTACAAGCACTGGAGAAGACAGAGTATGAGGCTGCAGTGATGCTGTTGAGACCACCCTGAGAATACTAAGGGCTGAGAGGAGGTCTGCAGGGAGGCCAATAGAGAAGCCAAAAGAGAGATGATGGGCTCGGGATAATTCTGCATTCTCACAGAATGGGTAAGTTTTCCTGTGGACCACATACAAACTCCTGGTTCCTCTGGAGTTGTATCAGGGCTTGACCAACAGAACTTCTAAGATGGATGAATGAGCTGCAGCAGAAAGAAATTGATGGGATTGCTGATTTTCATAACAGGACTCGTAATCAACCTTAGGAAAGTAAATAACTAGGAAGAGGAAACTCAAACAGGCCAAATGATGAAGGAGAAGAGAAGGATACGAATCACTGAGGAAGATTCCCTTGAGAAAAAGAACATGAAACGCTTAATAAAAATTGGCTGTATAAGACAGTCATTTATAAGTAACATATCTTTCTCTATTTGCATTGCATTGATCTTAAGCTCATTTTACTCCAGAGAGTCCCTTGGTAAGGCTTATGGTGTCAGAGTTCAGGCTCATAATGTCTTATATCATAACAGCTTTTAAGAAAAACAATTAGTGCCTAAGATTAAGTAATAGAGTCTTTCCAAAGGTACCTTAAGAATCAACTGAAAAATCTTAATTATCTTAATTTCTCCAGTACACTTGCACTCATATTCTTTTCAAACAAATAAGAAATGAAATTTTACAGAACTTCCACAGAAGGGGAAGGACAGTAGCAGTGATATCATAGAGTATTTCATGTAAAATTCTGAACCTGCATGGAGTAATGGAAGTTACTGTTAAGAATGACCCCTAAAGAATATGAAAAACAAACAGTTAGCAGGCAGTCATGAGTTCGATCCCTGGTACAGATAAAAAAATGAAAAAGACAAAAAAAAAAAAAAAAAAAAAAAAAGAAAAACAAACAGTTGGGACCATTTTAAAATCCTTTAAAACCACTGAAAAAAACATTCTGTAGTTCCATTTTGGTTAATTTTCTCCAACTCTTCAGGTTAAAAACAAAAACAAAAACACCCCAAAACACTCCAATACAATTCCGTGGTAATATCCAGAACAATGAATTTAATCAACACTTGGTTGTATCTTTAGGACTGGTACTATCTTCCTGGTCTAGTATATGTGATGGTAATGACAACAAAAATAAATATACAAAGAAGAGACATCCTGTCTGCATCCAACTCACATATGTGCTGCTATATTATTCATGGCACATTTTAAGGTCCTGCTTAATTTCATATGCTCTCAACCTACACTTGCTAAATAAAAATGATATCTTGAAAAAGAAGAAATTCAGATTTACCAATCAGTATATAGGGCAGAAACTAGAAACCATGTTAGGTTGGGGCTGTTATGACAGACTCTGTCCTCTGGTTTTTTTCTATTAAAATTCCTGTCATCTGGTAAACTTATAATCAAATACCAAGGAAGATAAATCAGATGTGACCAGAGTGCTTTGCAGCTGATAATTTTTTTTTGCTGTTGTTGTTCTGTAATGGAGTAAATTAACCACAGAAATTGGGGAAGTTTTACTATTGTTTCTTTTAACTCATGCCTTCCTTTTAAAAATAGAATACATCTATAAGGTTGAATGATTTCTGGCTTTCAGTGAAATAAAGCAAGATAGCACAAAGCAGCAGATCATGAGAAATTAAGATATAAATTCTGAAGCAACTGAAGGGATGGATAATAGATTACGAGGTTAGACATTAAATCTTACAGCTGGCCACCGGAAAGGACACAGCAGCTGTTACTGCAGAGGCCCTAAAGGAACAATATTCTTTTCTGCAATCAGAGAAAGAGTGCAGTAATTGTGTGCACATGTTTGTGTTTTATACCATTCTGATACTAATCAGAGTGTATTTCTATGTATATAAATAACCGATTAATGAAAACTCTTCCGTGTGTGTATTTAGCTTCCTGAACCTCTATAGTTAGATACCTAGATAAATATACATAGAGAAGCTAATTGAATATGAGTGAGAGCTAGGTTAGAGTACCAAGGATCAAAACCTGGCTGCCACAGGCTTAGATATCAAACACTCATGCCTAAGAGTTGTAGCACTTTTCTCACCATATTACTAAAATTGAGAGTCCGTCTAAAGCATGAACAGTAAAGGACTGAATTACAGCAACGTGATCTAATTGGAGAGGCTCAGAATCCCACCCAGAATGTCTGAAGAGAACGGTGCCTTTAGGACTCACAGGGCCGGAGTGGCCCTGGCCACCTTCTTGCCTCTTAGACAATTTGAGGTCTGCACGCGAATCCGCTGCATGTGAATCAGTGTGCTGAGACAGAGCTCTGGGTGTCTGGAGCACTCACTTAGCTTTCGAGGGCGGGTACATGAACTCACGCTCTTTATCTTCCCATTCCTGTGTCATCCTACATGCCTGAGAAAACAATTCGGTGATCTGATGTCCTCTTTCACGCATGACAGTCTCTTCCTTTTGCAGTTCTGGTGACCTCTCCCACACACGCTCATGTGATGACGGAATTAACAAATGGGAGTACAACGGGACAGCTCTGGAGAGTAATCTTCCTTCATGACTATATTAGAACCACATGAAACAAAAGTCGCGCGCAGAAGATGAAGAGCCTTCTGTAGGATGTGCAGCATTTCACCGGCTGAGCTCACTTATCGACGGGTTGAAATGATTTAGCGATATGACTGCACCTTACACACGGCTTATTTTGGCTTATTTCACATGGCTGAGCTCATTAGTTTTGTCAGCTACTCAGAAAGTGTGTGAGCAAAACCTGTTTTCTATTGTGAGAGGGCAGGCCTCCGGAAATAGCGTCCTGCACAATACTTAACTTGAAACACAATTTTCAAAGTTTAGCAAAAAATATGTTCCCTATTCATTTAACATGATTATGATTGGTCAGAAAATATACATGGTTTTATAATGTGCCTTTTCCTTCAGTTTAATATAACTGTCATAGAAGAATAATTTTTTTAAAGACACATTATTTTTGGTGAAAGAAGACAAATGATAATTGTCCTTCCTCACAGTTTAAAATAATACAAACAAATCCATATTGTACATCATATTGTCTGCCCTGGCTTGAAATTTTAAAATCGTATGATTTAGATTCATCATGGATACTTGTGTCGTGTGGACCTGCACATGCACATGTCATACCTTAGTCCTTTTCACTTCTTCTTCCCTTCTACTGCTAGATCCTTTTTCAAACCTTCAAACTTTTTTTTTACCTTTTTAGAACCCTTCAAAAAGGGATTCACTCAATTATGTTGAAAAAACTGTAATTTTAATTGGCATATTGAATGTTTTTATTTGGATTACTGAAGTAACAATGTTTATAAAATTCAGCTTAATTTTTTACCTACTCATATTTTAATGACTTGAAAATTCACTTGACAGATAAAATTCTTCAAAATAGATGCAAGCTATAAAAACTCCTGGGTGATGCAAGAAATACGGTTTTACTGTTAATAAATATGACTTAATTTGTAGTGTGCTTTTATCTTTTGAAATATATTCTCTGTCTCAACTTCAGCTCTACTCTTGAAAAGCAGCAGGATAATGTGGAAAAAAACCCTAGGATATATAAAACTATATATATAAAATTTTATATATATACTTATATATATATATAAAATTTTATATATATACTTAAATTTATATATATATACTTAATTATATATATACTTATATATAAAACTATATATATACTTATATATAAGTATATATATAAAACTATATATACATACTATATATAAGTATATATATAAAATTTTATATATATATAGTGTTTCCAAATAGTGAAAGCAAAGATACTTTGAATTGTTGCAAAAGATGAGAAATAATAAGTGTAAAATGTTTAGAACTGTTCCTGTCTTACAACATTTGAACTTGTAGAGTTTCGATGAATGGTAATAATTTTTATTTTATTTTTGTTTTCCACCAAGAATTCTACATACTTGCTGGGTACATGCTTACAAAAGACTGTACTTCACGTGGGAATATTTACCAAATATGGTCCTTGTTATCCACTTTTGGTGACAACTTGCTATGTTCACTTTGACTGAAGTGGAGAAGTCATTAGCTTATGAGGTTATAGGCAGCAAGGTTAATTTGCATAATGGATGATCTTCTTCCTTCACTCGGGTTCCCAACCCCATCCTGGGAACAGCAGAAGAGCTTTAAAGGAAAGCCCAGCCAAAGACAGAGGCAACCATTCACGTAGGGAGCACCGTTAGCTTTCCAAAGTTATTTTTTAAAAAAATCTAAAGTCAATTCCAAAAGAAACAAAGTTCAAAGGGTGTCAGGAATAATATTTAAACATTGATAAAGTTGATTGATTATTGTTTTCTTATTTTATACGTGGCACATTTTGTGATCTAATGAGCACACATTGACTCACACTCTCTATTCATTACCAGGATGTATTGAACCTAGAAATTAATATTGACTGGGGCAAAACATCCACTAACTTCTTTTACAGGTCAATAAATCTGGTGATAGAGAACACCAAACCTGGAATCAGTACATTTTTTTTTTCTCTTAGTAGTGTTTTTTTTTTTTCCCCTTTGCCCTAGGAAGCATGTCAGTGCAGCTGCCTGCTTCCAGTGGGCCTATCATGTTTTTAAAAATATTTAGTAGCTGGCCTTTTAAAGTCTGTTTCCAATTTACATTGTGTGTTAATAAGGGCTCGAATATAAAATTTCCTTCAGATGCATTAATACTTGTAGGTTTATTGCAGAGCCAAAGCACATTTATTACAGTTAAATTTCATAAATAATGCCAGAAAAAAGAAAGCAAAAACGGTAAATTTAATACACTTGAAAACAACATAGAAAATGTCTACAGTTTAATTATGCATGAGAGATGATGTAACTGAGAACAGTCAAGTTGCCCTTTCTGGGTTTTCAGCTCTTACAATACATTAAATATTTGAATTTACCTTTCAGGTCTCTATGAGTTCTAAGATTCAAGACAAAATGAATGCTTTCAAAAGCTAGCATTTGTAGCTATGGGTTGTTGTCTCAGTGGAAAACTCCTGGAACTACTCAAGATTCAGGAATAAGTCACACAAAAATTTGGCTAACCCTTCCTTTGTTTGTGTTCCCCTCTGCCAGTCGTGTGTACATCCACATGCATACAACATCTTTTTGATTCACGGAAAAGAATGAGTGGAGGTAAAAATATAGTTTAAAGTTTAATGATCTGTGTTTGAAGCCTACATCTACAGTGTGTGTGTGTGTGTGTGTGTGTGTGTGTGTGTGTGTGTAAGTACATGATGCAGGAAGAGAAAGCAACAGTAAAATAAATCAGCATCTCTGTTTGTGAATGATTTCTTAAGGATGCAGTTATCACAATTGCCTTGTGCAGTTGCTTGTTTCTCACTAAGGGAGTAGAAGCCCAGGAAATTGATTTGCCTCCCCAAGGGAACAGCTTTTGTAGTCTTCTGTATCCATGCTGGTCTAACTCCAAGGAAGAGCCTCTAGATGGTCCCTGGGCTTCTCTGAATTTCTGTTTTTTCAGGTCTAAAATGAGCTCTTAGCAAAGCCTGAGCCTGTAAGGGTTGCCTGCAAAAAGAGAATGACATCAAAGTGATTTGCTACTGGTAATCAAGTGATGATGATCTGATTTTAGAGGCCACCATTTGAAAATTATTTCCCCTAAAAGACCATGTTGAATAACATAGAACTGAAACTGTAAGTAGATACAGGGTCCAAGTAGGTACTGATGAGATAGAAAAATCCTCTGGCAAAAATGCCTAGGATATAGAACGTGTAGGTAATATTCTCTTCTTTTTGCCTTTTTTCCCATTAAATGGTATCCCATCTTCTGCTTCTTACCTGAATGCTTAGATCTTTCCAACTTGTTCACTGGCGGTGCCCAACAATTTGTGTGATGGGTTGGGAGCAAGTTCTGCAGGCTGTGTGTTCTGCATTCAGAGAGACGTAGGCTTAAATCCCAACACTTAGCCATTACATTTTATGAAACAATACTCAGAAGCCTCGGTCGGTCTCTCTTCTCATCCAATGGGGATGACACAGGCCTGATTAAATGAGGTCACTGAGAGGATATATTACACGGTGGCATGTTAAGTGAAATGGGCAGTTCCTACCTTACCCAAGATCCCAAACATTGGTAAATATTATTAATAGCTCAGAGGAGCTGACAAATTATTTAAAAGAGGATCAGTGGCCTTGATGTAGCTGGCAGATTCCAGATTAATGACAAAGGGGTTTTGGGAGAGCTTTTTCTTCTTTTTCGTGCCTTTATAGACACTCACTCCTCTTACGTACAATGTTCACATGAGTCATGGTGATTTTTGTTTTGTACTCATAAAACAAAAAACAATGCCAGAGAAAAAGAAAATCGAGTCCTTCTACCTGGTCATGTCTCTTTTGAAAGATTACTGGAGATCTCTTCTGTAACTGTAATATTCCCTGAGACCCCTGGCAGTGAGTGTTTGTCTTTAAAAGCCAGACAGTTTATTGAGGCATGGAGGGAAGGAAAGCACTGGGATAAAGGAAATGAACGGTAATCTGGCGAGGCTACTTCTAGTCCTAGCTCTATGAGTCAACTTGCAAGACCATGGACCAGAGATTTAAGTAGGAAGTCTTTGTTTTTCTCATTATGAATTGGAGGAGAATAATTATTTTACAGGGATATTTGGGAATGGGACAATAACCTCTGATCCTGCATCCACATAGGGAGCATAAGAGACCCTTCGCTTTGTTTTATTTGCATTTCCCCTTCCCCTCATCCTGTCCTTGTTTCCTTCCTCCCTTAACTCAGTACTTCCCTTCCAGCTTCCAGCAGTCCCTGGAGAGGCAGCTCTACCTACTGCAGCATCCCAACGTGATGCTGCAATTTCTGAAACACTTGTTATAGGTAATGTAGTGCCTTGATTAATTGCCAGAGTCACTTAGCATTACAAGTCCACTAGGATAGTTAAAAAGTGCATCATCCATACTCTGTGGTACTGGGCAAGTGGGTAGATGCTCTCCTCCTGCTTTTTGTTGTATTTCAATCACTGGGGGAGAAATAATGAACTAGATCCAGTGATATGTTTTTGAGAGCTCACAGTCACTGACAACCAGTGGCACTGCTGAGTGTTTGTATACTTAGCCACTTATTCTGCTCATAATTTAGTGAGCATCTGCTATGTGGAGATGCCACAGAGGAGAAATAATGCAGATACTACTGTTGTTTTCAAAGATTTGTATGCTAGTGAGTGGAGACTGACCCTGAAGAAACAAACAAAATGAACAACACAATTCAATTTCTTTAAAGATGGCACAATAGGAGTACCAGGTTGGAGAGTGGACGTTATGAAGAAATTACTTTCAGTGACATATTTCAGGACAGCTTTTCTCAAAAGGTGATACTAGAATTACAAAATAAAGACAAGATTTGGCAAATATATACAGCTAAAGATATACTATATTGCTATGGTTGGGATAAGTACCACCCAAAGGCTAACGTAAGGGCTGGGTAGGTAGTCTGTAGTGCTGTTGAGGAGTCATGGAACATTTTCAGAGACGAGACAGGGTGGAAAGATGATGGATCACCAGGAGCATCACTGAAAGGGACCTGGGCACTCTGGTCTCTTCTTGTATCTTTTTGCCTCCCAGATGCTATAAAGTAAATGGTTTTGCTCTACCACACATTCCCTGCTGTGATGTTCTCTTTTACCTTCAGCCCAAAAGACACAGATCATGGGCTGAAACTTCCAAAACCATGAGCTAAAGTACATTTTCTTTCATATAATTTGTGTATATGTGATATTTTGTTACTATAGTAAAAGAAAGCTGACTTCCACATTTATTTCTGGCAGTGAGAAGAAGATACACAAAACTGCAAATATCAAGAATATTTGAATTGTATAAGGAAAAAATAGAAATCCATATAGGTCTGAGATTTGCTATTTGGGCATAAGTAAGAGGCAAGAGATCAAACAGGAACATTAGGAATACTCAGTTTATAGCCCCGTACACATTTTTGTGCTATTTCTTGGGGACTCTTTTGTTCAACTGAAATACCTGGGATAAATTCTGCAAGCAGCTACTTTAGCCATTGATATCAAGGAGAACTTAAAAAAATAGAATACAAGAGATCTCTATAGAAAAAAGAACAAACAGAAGTACATGTAGAAACAACAACAATGAAAGAAAATAGTATGAAAGTGATTTCATTTCTATAAAAGGACTTACTTCAGTAAAAGGACATTTTGCAAATACCTGCTTTCTACATTCAATAGAAAATCTCTGGTATGAAACGAAGGGAGGCCAGGAAAGAGAGAAAGCAGTCTCTAACTAAATCACAGATCTCCTGAACAACAGATGGGCCGACACAGATAAGGACCAGGGGTTCCACATCCCCTAACTTTACAGTAGAAACAATTACTGTAAGAATATTTTCTTAGCTAACGACTCTAGAGTGAAGGAAATATGTTTTTATTTGCTATTTCATTTATAAATGGACCTTTCATATATAT